TAATTGGAGGGGAATGTCGTTTTCAGCCAGGCTGAGCTCCTCTGCTCCTTAGCCTTGAGCAAGCTGCAGGCCGCTGCCTGCCTCAGTTTCCCCCGTGGACAAAAGAGGTTAATAACCACCTCAGAGCTCTCTGGGATCCACTAATGGAGAGCTCCTTGTAAGAACAAAGTGCTGTAATTGTTGTTGTTATTACCATACTGTTCTGTGTGTCTTAAAACTTGGGGTGATATTCACACCTAAATATGGCTCCATGTCTCTTCCTTGTCCAGAGACACTGATGGCTCCAGAGAGCAATTCAGACCACCAAAATTAGGCTTTTAATTTCGGATTTATTTTAATCGGGATAGTCCTCTGGAGATTTCAGTCTTTTTTCCTCTACTTGTAGAGGAAACACAGCAAATTTTAAATCCCATCCCTGAGGCTGGAGTTCATCTTGTGGAAATTGAGCACTGTAAAACTGAGGTGCCTGGGCTAAGGTGGTGTCTAAACTTTTTCTGTTTGCTGGGGAAGGAGGGGAGCTGGTGCTCCTGATGCTCCAAGCTGCAATTTCCAGGCTGAGATTATCTCAGTCTGAACTTCCTCTCACTGGCTGCAGTGGGAAAGAGTTTAGATGATGAGCTCTGCTCAGCATGCCTAAATGTAAGAAGGATGAAGAGAAAGAATGACTTGTAATCATAGAATGGTTTGGGTGGAAGGAGACCTTAAAAATCATCCCATTCCATCCTCTGCCATGTCCCAAGCTGCTCCAAGCCCTGTCCAGCCTGGCCTTGGACACTGCAGGGATCCAGGGGCAGCCCCAGCTGCTCTGGGCACCCTGTGCCAGGGCCTGCCCACCCTCCCAGCCAGCAATTCCTTCCCAATATCCCAGCTGGGCCTGCCCTCTGGCACTGGGAAGCCATTGCCTGTGTGCTGTCCCTGCAGGCCTTGTCCCCAGTCCCTGGGCAGCTCTCCTGGAGCCCCTTTAGGCCCTGCCAGGGGCTCTCAGCTCTCCCTGGAGCCTGAACACTCGCAGCTCTCAGCCTGTCTCCACAGATTTCAAGAACTTAATTCCCCACTCAGGTTCTGCCAGCTAATATCTTGTGTTTCCTTTGCAATGATAAACAACCTGTGCAGTGCAAAGGGACAGTGCTTCTTATGGAACGGCTGCTTTTAACCCACAGCTGAAGTTTTACGCTTGAGTTCCCCCTTTTCACTTGTACTGCCATTATAATGCAGTAAGGGATAATGGGAGTGTGGATCTTACAGCATGGGTTAGGCTGCTGAGTGTTGAGATGCGGCTCTAAGAAAAGCAAGGGAGCCGGTAGCAGATGAGAAGTGATTTAATTTTCTGTGTTGCAACTTTAAAATGAAAATTGGTGTGTGGTAGACCTGGATTTTTGTGCATGTGACTTCTGATTCAGTTGTTCGGAGTGGAATTAGTTTTGATGAGCTGTGTGAATTAAGGGAGAATTGGACACTTAGAAATGCTGTCCTCGTGATGACCTCTGCCTCTGAATTCTTTGGGGAAGAAAGAAAGAAAGCAGGCTTTCCCTCCCCCTTTATAGCATTAAATGTCAACAGCTGTATTTTGCTGCTGGTACTTATTAACTTTCAGCCTTGCCTTTTTCAAGTATTTATTGCTTTAGAAATTAATTAATGCTTGTCACCAGGGAAATGTACTTCTTCCAGCTACCTTGGGTTCTCAAAAGATGTAATTTTTCTAAAGTAGATAGCTTAAATTACTGACCAGGGAACCCCCTGAACAGTTCTACATTAAGTTTTGGTTCTGGCATGGTTTGTCTTGATGTCTGTTTTTTAATCTGTTGAAATCCTGTTAGAGTCAGTAATTACATATGGCCTCTCTATTATAAAGAAAAGATGATGAATTACATCTATGGTTGTAGTTAATCTTTTTTTCAACCTGAAAGCTTTTTTTTACTTTGTTTCCTAGCTGAAGCAAATTGTCCTTATTTCTTGGTACCATACATTCACTTTACATCACATCACTGGATGATCACATACTTGGCTAGGGAAGTATTATTTATTTCCATATTTAACCACTCCTGTCCCACCCATGCAACACTGAAAAGGAAACAGGCTTTTGGGAACAGAGGATTTTTATAAGATTTTTTTAAATCTGCCTTCACTGCAACTTTCATCTAGTTGCTGTTGCCTGCAACTTCTTTATTGTTTGGTTTTGTGTAGTTTTTGTTGACTTTTTTTTTTTAACACACATAAGCATTTATGCTTATTTTTTCTTTTACAAGTAGGGGGAATCTGAAGATTTGTTGAAGTTTGATGGCCATTATCTTGGCTTTGTTAGTCACTTACTGGTGATAGGTGTTGGGAACCTTTCAAGATTTCCAGACCTTATCCTCAAAGGCAAGGCTGAGAAATGCCAAAATAGATCTCTGCTGTGATTGCTTTGTAAATAGGCAGCTTGTTTGGTTTTTGTTTTTTTTACAGATTGTTAAATTGGTGGCTATTACCCTGACAAATATAATTATAGTGTATAAATTATATTGAAAATATTTTTGTCTGTTTGATGTATACTGAATTTAAGCTAAGTTATAAGGTGTGCTCTTTGGAAGTGTGGAAGATACAAGAGTGGAGCTACAGATAACAAGTTTATGCTTGTATTTCCTACTGATGAAGACTTTCACACAAGTTATTTCTATGGGTAGGTGATGAGAATATCACTCTGCATGTATATACATTTATTATACATTTTTGCATGATTATACATGTAGGAGTGGTACAATTTTGACTTGAGACTATTGGTGCCTTTTGTCCAAATACAATTTTACTCGTGTAGACACGTCTATCTAAAAATCAAACTTCGCTTCTGCTTTTGGAGGTCTGAGTCAGAAGTGAGAGAAACAAAGGCCTGAAGGAATAGTCCAGAGCTCCTGAAATTTTAGATAACCTGTTGAAAAAATGGTCAAATAGTCAATATTGTACTTGACCCTCGTATCTTCTGCACTCGACTGTTTATTTTTACAGCTCACATTATATATGTTCACGCTGAACTCTGATGATAAGACTGAAAGAAAACATGCCTCCCATGATTCAGTCCAGCCCTAACTTCTGCATGTAATTTAATCATCAGCTGTCACAAATAATTAACTGAACATCAGCCAGCTTAATTTTGAACTCGGTATTTCATTATTTTGTAATTGCCTTTTAAAAAGACAAAGATTGCCTTCCAGTTAATTATCAGGAATTCTGTTCCAGTCATAATCATCAGCGTTTCATGTTGCGAACAGTTTGGTCTTTAATACATTGGCATTTAACTACTCATTTATTTTTGTTGGGTCTGTTTTAAGTTTGTAATGTAACATTGTTTCATGGAATTGTTGTTTTGGAGGCAGGTCTGATCTGAAATATTTTGTGAATTTCCTCATACCTTGTTGCAAAACTGATCTTTAGTACAACTTAAGCAAAATGTCACTCTCTGATGAACTGTGTTGCTAATCATAAAATAGGGGTTTATGAATATAGTCAGCTGAATTTTATTTCAGGCACCAAGTTACTAAAAAACACCCCCTCAAAAAAAGCCCCTAAAACTAAAATCCATTCCAAAACCTCAGGAAAAACAGCTTTTCAGAGAAGCAAATTTGAAACTTCTAGTTCATTGTGTTCTTTCTGTCTTCAACAGCCACTTAAAACTCCAAAAACAGTTTTTACTAAGGCTTTTCGTTTTATTCTTTATCACTTTAAAAGGTTTCATTAGTCATTTTGTAACTCTGAAAGTCCTGTCTTCCTGAACACATTCTTAGTTTGTGATTATTTTCTATTATCCCATTCAAGTTGTGCCCTCCATGTGTCACACCTATAACAAAAGGTCCTGCAGATGCTCAGCTGCAGAACTCCAAGAACCTCCTTGGAGTTAAAGGATTGCAAAGATGCTGAGCTTTGGCCCAGCCTGTGTTTCCGTCTCATCCTCATTTGTGTGGGTGAAGCCTTGGTCCAAAGAAAGTTTTTATCCTCTCATTTGGGGAGGGGGAGCTCCAACCATTTTCATCCACGCTGAGCCAGTGAACTGCAGATGGGGCAAGGCATTTGAGATAAAACACTCACATCCTCTCAGAATTGCATTATTTATTCATTCTCTCTGCTTCCACATCAATCTTTGTCTTGAACTTGCCTGGTTTTTTTTCTGAGCCTCTTCTGTTTCCAGCAGAATTGCTTTCCAATTATAAGTGATTTTCATTCATTACAAAGAATTTAGTTGGTCCTAACAAAACAGATCAAAACTAATTTTTTGTTATTCCCTAAGGACAGATTTCAGAATCACGTAAGCAATTTTATCTCCCTCCTTCCTCCTTCATTAAGGTGACCAATAATTCATATGACATTCATGCTGCATGAAAAGCATATTTGTTACTGCACAATATAATTTTGTTTCTTGTTATTCTTGATCTTAAAAGCAAAACAGCAAACACCACCAAAAAACATTGCAAATTTGAAAATCCCCCTGTCCTTGACAGGTGAATGTTATGAAAGGAAAGTTGCCTAATATTAAATTCAACATCACTGGATCAGTTTTATGAAAAAGCTAGTTTTATTCAATCAACCCTATAATAATGTAAGCTGTCACTTTACTTCTGTAAAATTCTCTATTTAAATATCTTGTCTGCCCAGTTTAATGTCCTGTAATTTATTACTTTTTTTATTTTAAACCAGAGGTTTTATCCTTTAAAGATTGTAAATGTAACATTGTCAGATATGGAGATGTTTATGTGTTAATGTAAAAGACAGTACACAAATAACTGATACTCTTATAAACGTGTGTTTCTGACACTTGTGTTTTCTGTGTATGCAAAGGTCACAATGTCTCTGTAATCTCAGGCTATGTTCATTAACTGACGTTTAATAATAATTCATACAATTTATCACTATGTAACTTTAAGAGCTTCATGTAGGATGTTGCATTAATCCTTAAACAAATTATTCATACTTTTTGAGGCGCCTTTCAGCCTGTGCTGATTTCTAACCCATGTTGCTTTTCTCCCCTGCAGATGGACCCCCTGTTGTGGCTCACTATGATATATCAGACACAAACTCAGACCCAGAAGTGGTAAATGTGGACAATCTGTTGGCGGCTGCAGTAGTTCAAGAGCACAATAATTCTTTAGGAAATCAAGACTCAGGATCTGCCTGGAGAGCCAGAGGGTTGCTGAATGAAATGAGTGCTGATAGAGGTTTGTTTAATTCTCTGACATTTGTGCCAGCAATGCAGTTGGTGGGTCTCCCTTTCTTGCTTTCAGTATTTTTATAGTTTATACAGCTGTAAAAGCTCCCTATGTGGATTTTGTGAGAGAACAGGACAGGTGTTTTTAAAAAGGTCTGACATTTACTCCAGAATACAAATGATAAAAATTGACAAATATTCCTGCAATATATTTTTGACACTAATTTTAACTACCCTTCTTCTTCTTCTCCTTTTCCTTTTAATTACTACAGGGAGCTTAGGTCTGGGGTTTTGGTGGTGTTTTTTTCTTTTTTCTTAAATGAAAGTGACATAATCTTGTTACTGAATGGTTGATTATGACAACCCGTGCTACCAGCTAGTCAACTGGTCCTAATCTCATTTTCAGTATTGTGATTGCCTATGTATATTTTTTATTGTTGTTGTTTATCTCTTTATATCTCTAAAATACAAGCATTAATTATTCCCATATTCCATCTGCATTTCCAATACTATTTGAAAATTGGACAGTGTTTTGGATGTTAGCAGGGGTTATTTGCTATCAGCTTCATCCCACAACTTTTTATGCCAACATACTTCCTTTCCACTCATTTTCTTAACTCCTGTGTTAGGATTTCAGGCCACATAAGACACATAAATCTTGCCTGCCGTCGTGGAGCACAACAAATTTGTATTTCATGCTGTGTTTCCCAAAGGTCTCCTGCCACAGGTCACCCACATGGGGAGTGTTGTGGTGGCTCTGAGCTGCTTTTCACTGTCTATAAGGTTTAAAGAAACATAATTAGATGGTGCTTTGTAAAGAGATGTTCCATTATTATGCAGTCTACAAGTCCACGATGTATGAGAATCTCTGTGCATTATTTTCACTGTGGTCCATGGCTGGATGTTGTTCCAGCCTTTTTGAAGCTTGCCTTTGTTTTCCAAGCTCACTGGTATTTTTTGCAGGACAGCAGCTGACTGATGGCTATTTGACCCCTAGCAATCCCAGTTCTTTATTAAGGGATTTATTAAACAATTAGAACAGCTGAAATCACCTGCATTACATAGCACTAATGGATCAGTACACCAAATGAATGTAAGGAAATAAAAAGTAATGTTTCTTACCAAGCTTTCTTCCACTTTTGTCTTAAAATTCTGCAGCACAGGTAGAATTTTTTTTCCTTCGTCTACATATATCCAAGGGGACTTGCAGGTAAAAGAAAACTGGAAACATTAAGAGACTTCTTCATCCCTGGGAATGTTCATATGGATTTAGTCTTGGTGCTGTGGCCATGTCAGCAGCTGAAAGGATGAATGCCTTTTTGCTCATGCATTCACCTTACCCTGCAGCCTCAGTACACATCTGACTGCACCTTTGCCAGTGCTGGCCTTTTCCTGCCAGGTCTAGGGTTGCACATTGGGAAAGCAGAACTTTCAAATCTTGCATCTGGTTCACAAGTGTAATCTTCAGCCAGTATCTAGTTTATCAGACTTTAAAGAATGTGTTCCCATGGGAAAATAACAACGTAAGTAGTTCTATCAAAGTGAAAAATCTTGTAACAGTAGCACATCTCTGTGCATGGGCAAATATTTGGGGCTGTTTTGCAAGCCCTGGTGGTGCAGGGCAAACAAAACATCACTTTGGGTGTCATCCTAATATTTGTGCAAAGAAATTAACAGCGTGGGCATGTTATTAGACATGAAATTTTTATGGCCAGAGGCTGTAAATCTGTCTGTCTGTGCTATAATCCTGATTAACACTCAGCTACTCTTGCAGTATTTACTCTGCTAATCATGGTTTCACTACTGCTAATTATCTTTTTGTCATCTGAACTTAAAGGTGTGGTAATATGTGGACCTTTTGGGACTCCAATTTATACCTCTAGGTATAAATTTTTGGGGCTATTTAGGAGCTGATCTGCTTTGCTCCTTTGCCAGACATTACCCTGTCAAGAAAATGAAGGGTGGTTAGGCATTAAAACAAGATGTAATGGCCATCCCATTTCACCCCCTGCCATGGGCAGGGATATATTCCACTAGCCCAGGTTGCTCCAAGCTCCATCCAGCCTGGCCTTGAGCACTTCCAGGGATCCAGGGGCAGCCACAGCTGCTCTAAGCACCCTGTGCCAGGGTTCCACCCTCTTCATGGGGAAGAATTTCTCCCCAGTGTTCAATCCAACCCTGCCCTCTGTCAATGTGAAGCCCCCAGCAAGTGAGTCAAAGCCTCTGAGCCCTTTCATTTCATGTTTCACAGCCTGCCCAGCCACTTCTATTAAAAAAATCGTCATGACCCATTTTTGGGCTTTCTGGCAGTCAATGATATTTGCCAGGAAATGTTCAGCTGAACTCCAATGATAGGAAGAGACTATCTGGGCTATTAATTTGTTTTAAGTTCAGCTGACAAATATTTTTTTTGTCTTGTGATGTGGAAACTCCTCCTTCAGGTACCTGGCAGCACATGTGTTTCCTTCCCTTGCTAACCCTGATCCTGTCACCAAGGGTCTTGGCTTTCCAAAAGCTGAACATACAGCATGGTCTCTGCTCCTACAGAAGAGCTGCCCAGGGACTGGGGACAAGGCCTGCAGGGACAGCACACAGGCAATGGCTTCCCAGTGCCAGAGGGCAGGCCCAGCTGGGATATTGGGAAGGAATTGCTGGCTGGGAGGGTGGGCAGGCCCTGGCACAGGGTGCCCAGAGCAGCTGGGGCTGCCCCTGGATCCCTGCAGTGTCCAAGGCCAGGCTGGACAGGGCTTGGAGCAGCCTGGGACAGTGGAAGGTGTCCCTGCCCATGCCAGGGGGTGGGATTGGATGAGCTTTAAAGTCCCTTTCAGCTCAAACCATTTTATGATTCTATTTGCTTGCATCTTTCCCTTGTGCTTAAAGCAGTCATTAGAAAGTTTCCCTGGCACTTGTTTCAAGTTTTAATTTCTTCTCTCTCTTTCCTTTTAATCTCCCTGGGGGTATAATCAGTTCTGCATGTTCGCACACCTTTGAAATCCTGTGGATCATTATTGCTTCTCCTCCTCTTCCTCTCATCTTTGAGGAGGTGTCCACTCAAACTAGATACATATAAAATATTCACCTACTCTCAAATTTCCTGTTCAACAAATGACTCTTCCCCTGTGTAGTACAGCTGAGCAAGTGGTTTTTCAGAAGTAGGTAGTATCAACTACTTCACGGCTGTCCACTGTCCCTCAGGCTAATGAAAAAGAGAGACAGTGGAATTAATCATCTTCTCTTTTTCCTGGGGAGAGAAAAAAAAAAAAAGTAGAAGTTATAAATTCTAATTAATTGATTTTTCAAGAAATCTATTTTCTGTGAGAGAAATAATAATTTTGGCTGCTTTGTGTTTCCCATGCAAGTATTATCCTGTATGACTCAAAACAAATTCACTAATTGGGGTGAAGAACCTTCTTAGCGGCACTTGGCAGAAAAGACAGAAAAACGTGCCACACTTGCTGTGAGTATTTAGAGAGGGCTTGTGTCTTGATTGACTGACAAACTGGATGTCATTGAGGAGCTGTAATAAAAAAACAGCCTTTCTGCATATGGGATTTAAGAAAACCACTTTTTCTTCTCAAGTATTCGTAATAATGAGCAGATGTGTGAAGCAGCACTGTCAGAAAGTGATGGGTTTGCTCTGTTTTTTCACTGATCAGCTTCCCCATGTTTTTTATTTAAAGAAATTAAATTAAATTTCCTTGATGTGTGGGATGCTTCTATTCAGACTATAGGCTTTTTTTGCTACAGTATCATTGTTTTCTTAGATTGTTCTGTTTCTTAATTTTTTCTTTAATGGTTTCGAGGAGGTTTAGGGACAGTCTGACTCTTAGCACTGTTGTAATATTTCAGCTGGAAATTCTGATTGTTCTTGGTGCAAGTCAGGCTTTGCTCACATTTGTGTGCCAGCACCATCACCAGAGCTACTGACACTGCCTAAATCCAGTGGTTTTCCTGTATCAGGTGATGATTTGTGAGTTGGAAAACTTGGTCTAATGAGATTTTCTTATCTCAATGTTGTTCTGGTTTTTTTGTTAGGAAACTCCTTTTCCAGCTGATTTCTGAGTCACATAAGTTGTTAAACACTGTCTGTATTCCCATTTTCCCCATCTGTAGGTCGCTTGGATCCAGGCTTCCTTGCAGGTGACAAAACCTCTTGTGGCAATTCCCAGGCCAATGAAGAAATTAACATTGCCTCTTCTGACAGCGAAGTAGAGATTGTTGGAGTTCAGGAACATGCCAGGTATTAATTATTCTTTTCTTGCTCTAATATTACTTTCATTTTATCAGAATGTCTGCATTACCAAAATCAATAAAGAAAGAACTGCTGGCCTTCACTTCTGTAATTACCCATCCATGAGTGATGCCCAAAAAGCAGCAAATGTTGCACTTTTTTCTTTTTTTTGTTTTGCTGATCTTGGTGATGTCAGAATGTGTTTTTCTTTAGAAAGTGACCAATCAGATCAATAACTTGATAGTTATTCAGATTAGAGTTGTGATTCAATATCAAACATTAACTGGCTAAAGATGTGTCATATAAAATACCAAATGTTGAGATACTAAGTGAACATACATCAGAAATTCAGATTTTAAAGGAATACATGAATATGCAAATAACTAAGTAAAAATGTTTATGTGGGTTCTCATTTCCTTTCAAAGTATTAGCTTAAGGTTATTTACAGCTTCCACTTTAATTAATTAACCAGTAGGGGTAAAAATATTGTAATTTTTTTCAATGGCAAATGTCATAAGATATCCCCTTTAGGTTAAAAATCTTGGTTTTATTTCAAGTTTCAAGAGAGGTTAAAGCAGATGAGGATAAGGGTGCCAGAGGTTTCTCTCTCAGCCAGAAACCTGTGCAGCTGTTCTTCTTGGTAGGCATTTTTTGATGTTACTCTTCACCTTTAGTCTGTGGTCTTTCCTTGGCTTAAGGTATTATGAAGCAGTTGAACAAAACCGACATTTTCTAATAATGTGGAGTGTGGATTTGGTGGAATGAAACCAAGTTAAAACAGTACATAGACAAGCTCCTTTTAAAATTTTCTTCTGCCTGCCTAGTGGGTGCTTGGAGGCAGAAAAGAGATGTGAGGAAGATGGAACAGAGTTCCTTGTCCTGTCACTGAATCTTTCTTGAGGAAAGAAGAAGAAAGGTGTGCAGGACCAAATTTCCTAGGCAGGAAACTTCATGGATAATGTACGCACAGCCCAGTGCTGTTGGATGTGAAAAAAAGGAAATTTTCAGGTCCAGGAAGGGGATTTAGTGTTAGCTTTTAGAACAGTGAGAAAGTCCTTGCATGGCCAGCTCTTTTGGAAGATGCTAATTTTGGAAGCAGTGCTCCTGGCTGTTTATGCAGCAGAACCCAGGGCTTGGTGGGGGGGGTCTTTGTGCTGATGGTAAGGGTTGTGGATTCACCCTCCAGCACTGGCTGGTGTAAAACTGTGCAGCACTGCACACAGGACCCTTCTGTCCCCTCTTTGAAAGTTTTCCATGCTGCTGCTTCAATAATACTCACCCTCTATGGGAATGGAAACTTGAGCTAAAGGCAGAGTTGCTGTTTAAAATGAGTTTTAGTAGATATGGTCTGAAATAATTTCAGCAAATCACACTTTATAAAAGCACTCTGTGCTTTCCTTTGTTCCTGTACCCATCTCCCACAGACCAGTGTTTACCGCCTCCCTTGAATACTCACACATTTCAGTTGTTTGAATCCTACTTAGAGTTTTATTTCTCCTGCAGGCCTAGGCTTGCAGTTATGAAGTACTGATGGGCTTCTGTCAGGGTTGCTGTTTGGGCAAGGTTTTTGATCAGTATTTTCTGCATGCTTAGTTGCTGCGGTGTTTGGATCCTGGTTTTTATCATGCTCCCTATTCCGTGTCATCATTGGGCTGTTGACACCCTGGAGTTTGTCCAGTGTTTGTAGTTCTTCAGATTCTTAGTGAATTGGTGCTGTTTCTCATCATTGGGATATTCCTTGGCATCTACTTAGGACACCAAGTCCTGTTTTTCAGTTTGTTTAATTTTTCACTGGTAGAATTTTTTTTTGATCACTCTAGTTTTGCCTAGGAGGTTTTTTTGGGTTTTTTGTTGCCTTTACATTCCATTGGTTGCAGATTGGAAGCATGTTCCCTGAGCTCATGTTTGACTGTTTTGCTGTTGGCTGCTTGTGTTTGAGGATAAACACTTTTATTTTTCCAAGGTGTCTTTTCTTTGAGATAATTTATGGCTTGGTTTTCATCATGTTCAGGAAGAAAAGTTAGTCTTAGCTTTGTCTAAACACTGAGGACTGTTCTCAGAATGGTGCACCACAGTCCCTGAGACCAAACATCATATTTAATTTGCTCTGCCCACAAGCTTTTCTTGCCAGTTATGCTTACAAATATATCTCCTTAAAAGAAAGCTTTAAAAGAAAGAAATCCTGTACATTTGTTAGAGTTCCAGGGTCTTATTGCTAATTCTTTGTAGATATATACTTCAAGTATGTGTTTTTATGACTGAAGAAGTAACAAAAGAACCATTCTGAACATCACATCTACAGAAGGCAATGAGACATTTCTATTCAGAGGAGTTACAGCTCAAATTTTCATTCTATTTCATGAAACTCCAACCAGAACCAAGAGAGCTGAGCGTAACCTAAGTAGTTTTGGAGAAAATAAATAGCACAGACTTAAATTGGAATAAATAAAATGTAAATGTCAAGGATATTTGATCAGTGCAGGAAATTTGAGTTCCTGAAATACACGTGCCTTCCCAAAGAAATGGGAAAAGGTTACTCCAGCAGCCAGAGCACCTCGTGTTTATCCATGCAGCTGGGAGCAGCTACAGCCACTACCAGTGCTTAGAAGAGCAAACCAATTTTTGGAGCACTAGGTATCAAGTTTTATTAGTGCCTGTGTAGGATTTACAGCTGGAATTGGAGTGATCATCCTAAAGCTTCTAGTAAATTCCTGTCATCACTTCATCATACACAAAATTATTTTGCCTTTCATTTTGCATTTCTTTTTTCTAATTGCTCTTAACTTGTGCTTCATTTGTCATGTATCTACTATGGACATAATAGGTGAAAATGCAGTGTGAGTAGGTACTTGTGAATTGTGCTTCATCAGGGCACTGGAGCCTTATCTTCAAATACACCTTTTATTCTTATTGTCTGTAGTCACTTAAAGCTTAAATGTTTTGCTGAAGTGGGGCTGAACTGTTGTCAGTGAGCATTTCCCAGCGTATTAGTAATTTTCACTTAAAAAGACCAAACCCAAAAAAAAAAACAACAGACGTAACAGCTGCAATAACATAATTAGCAAGACCTATTTTGCAATTATTGTAAAGAAAGTATCATTACCTCCTTGTTTTAATATGGCTTTGATTAATTTTCTTTTCTTTTCTTTTCTTTTCTTTTCTTTTCTTTTCTTTTCTTTTCCTTCTCTTCTCTTCTCTTCTCTTCTCTTCTCTTCTCTTCTCTTCTCTTCTCTTCTCTTCTCTCCTCTCCTCGAGTCTCCTCTCCTCTTTTTCTCTTTTTAAAAGTCCAGTGGGTAACGCTCCATCAGGAAACTGTGCATGGTACTACACATGGTCAGGCAGGCTTCCTCAAGATCCTTGGGATCCATACACATTTTTTTTGAGGAGGATCACATTACACCCACTGGCATCCCTTTAGAATAATTTAATCCCCACCAAATCCCCCAAATTTGAATTTAACTTTGTTCACTGGGTGTTTGAGATGCCACGGACTCTACAAGTGGAGAATCCAATGTGGAGGGGGAAGTGCTGACCAGATAGTGATAAAACACTGAGGGTGGGGTGTTGTGGCTGAGCTGAGCAGTGTCCCTGACGCTGTGTGTGTGTCCCTCTCCTCGCTGCAGGTGTGTGCATCCCAGGGGAGGGGTGATCCAGAGCGTGTCCTCCTGGAAGCGTGGCTCGCCGTTCGGGAGCGCCCAGCCCGCACAGCCATGGACAGCAGTGGCTCCCCAGCAGAACTGGTCCTCACCCCCAGAAGTGGTGGACCTCACTCTTGACGAGGACACCAGGCGCAAATACCTCCTGTAACTCCGTGTCACTGTGCTCTGCCCTCTCCCCTCCTGCCCTCCCTGGCACAGAAGTTCAGTGGTTAAACCATCGCCTCCAGAGGCCCCGTCCTTGGCACCATGAGACCCAAACCCACGGCGTTTCTCCACGCCCACAGGAATGTAGTCTGACTTCATTATCACCTCAAATGGTTTTGTCTTCTCCAAGGAGGATTCCTGCCCAGAATTAACAGCACCAAATTTAAAACACATCTGCAGTTACTAACATGTGCGTGTATATCTAACGAAATAACTGCGTGCAAACCTACGTCCTCCCAGCCTCCCCACCTCCCGACTCCAGAACGTTTTTAATTTATCAGTATCTTGAGTTTGTTAGTAGAAGTTAGTGTGTTGCTGTGTGAGCATCAGTGGTTTTGAGAAATGCTGTGTCCTCACTGATTTCAGCGGAACTGGGGGGTATTCAACACTTCCAAAATTTGGGCCAGGAGTATTTTTACCCAAGTGGATTTGGTTATGTTGCAAGCAGGAGGGATTGTCTTTAATGCAAATGGCCCATAACAAATGCACTGAACTGTAACTTTTTCTCTAAAAATTCTTTTTAATTTCTTTCTCTTTTTCTCTGATTCTGCTGCACTTCTTCTGTATTTCTCTTTCCACTCCTGGATTTCTCAGTCTCCTCTGAGGTGAGCTCCTTTGGGATCTTCCCTCGTGGGGAGCCCTGCTTATCTCACTTCTCTAGGTCTGAAGAAAACTCTTGAGCTCGTTAGAATCTTGTTTCTCCTGTTTATTAGAAGGTCATTACAAAACTTAGCAAATCTCTGCAGACTGGCTGCACAAAGTTAATTCACTGCAATCTGGTTTATTTTCTTCTGATGTTACAGAATGGTCTTGTGGCTCACTTTGTGTTTGAAAGCACAAAATGGCCCCCAACTACGTAGTTCTATTATCTTTGTACTTATTTTTACCCAATTAACAATAGACACATGTATTATTTTTCTTAATGACCCAATGATCCATCACCTGTGTGCTGCACTGCGGCATTTTCTATCCAATCACTTACTAGTGCCCAAAAAACCTCTAAAAGAAGAACATGAAGAAGAAAGAAAAAGGAAAAGAAACATTCTAAATCCTCTGTCTTGTCTTCTGCTTTCTAAACTAACTTAAACTCTAAACTAACTTTTTCACCCATTGACTTAAGAAAACTCTCTAATCTACACACTCACACTTTTAGCTTTTCTATCTAACTTTAACAGTTGTTTTCATGTATCACCATGAAAACATGCTCATGAATTTCATGTTATATGAGATTCAGTGTTTTTCTGGATCTTAGAACTAAGTATCAGAAATAAGTGCACACACTCTGTGTCTCAGACTCCTACACTGAACAGCTTTTAATTAAAGTGGTTTTATTTTCAATGTAATTTACAGTTTATATTCTTCAGTGCTGAGTCTTCTGTCTACTTGACTGCTGTATTTCACTGGTCAATTCCCACAGCTTGGAATGGCTAAAATAGTAATAGTAGTGACTTAGGAACAGCTGAACATTGCAAAAGCACAGGAAAAAGTAATAAAAAGGCCCAGCATCCCTCTCCTTTTTAATTATAGCTGAACTTTTTTTACCTTTATCTAAGTCTTGCCTGGAGTAGATGAAGGAGAGGGGTGAAATCTTTTACTCATAGTCCCCACTTCTACTACTGCTTGTTTGCATCACTCACCATCTCAGAAAATAAAAAACAAATCCCAAGCAAATTCCAAAGTCCCAGCCTGGCAAAAGGCTGTGTTCAGCTGGGACCTGTTCCTGGAATTTGTGGGGCCACTCAAGTGCTTAAAACTCTGTCCTAAAATATGTTGCAGGATCAGGGTCAGAAACTAAGGTTGTAGTTTTTAATGTTTTTTTGTTTTTTTTTTAATTAGTAATCTGCACCATTTCCCTGGCTTTCAGTCATGTCTCTCATGCTAGTTTTGAAAATGTCAAGATTCAGGAAACACTTTCTACCAGAATATTTACCAAAATCAGTGGAACTACTCTAGTGGGCTGCAGTTTCTGTGACTATATGGAAATTCCTGCCCCTCATCTGTCATTTTGAGTCTTTCCCAAGGCAAAAAACAAAGATTAGACTTTAACAAGACGATATTATTCACTTCAAATGTCTACTGTGCAATTGAAACATTCCTTCATATTCCAGATGTTTCTATTGAATTTTGTACAGCTCTGCCATTAGATTTTTACTATTTAAGGCTGAACAGGGGTGGTCAGGACATGGGAAGTTCTGCTTTCCTTTCATGTTGGCTGGTTTCAAAATTTATTTGGCCTCCCATAAGTTTATCTGCAAAATTAAAAATTAAAGTAGACTTACCTGTGTTGTCCCATAAAGGAAAAACAGCCCAGCAGGGGGGTATAGTTAAAAACCATCTGTTTCTTCCATAAGCAGAACAGTTCATACTGCACTTTACAGAGCAGCTAGGTAAGGATTGATATTCCCATTTCCAACTTTCTAGAACATTGAACATAAGTGTCTTGCATGGCCAGCAAAATATCTGTGGTGTTTGTAGTGACCGATTCCTTTCTGTGGGAGGGAGGAAGGGAGGGAGGGGAGTGTGGATGGAGCCTGTTGGCAGGGAAAGGCCCTGTGCTCCTCTGCCCATCCCTTCTCCTGGTGTTTCCATCAGCTGTGGGCACACACACCTGCTGTAAAGTTAACTTTGGGACAGCCAGCTCCTGTGGCTGCTTCTTCCCGTTTCACAGAGTCTCCTGAAGGTCGGTTGTGAAGAAAGCTGCCGGGACCCCGTTTGCAGTCCTTCCGTGAAAAAATGCAAACTAACTCTCCTTGTTTTTCAGTTTCTATATGATGTGACTTCCACATGTACATAAAAATGACTGCCTCCTAACCAAACTTCCTCCAATTGTGCACTGTGTTTGTTCAAACAGCTCATGTATGGTGGTCCGATGCAGGTTTTCTTTTATTTAAAACACTATGTATTTTCTCTCGACAAATTTCAAGGCTAGTGATCTGAAAAACGCAATCACTGGATATGGGTAGGAAATGGTTTGGTTTTGTTTCTTTTTTTTGTTTGCTTGTTTGTTTATTTTTTTTCTTTTAAATTCTATTTTTTAAAAAGGAGCAAAAATCTGCCTGGGTGGTTTTTGCTCTTCTCAGCAGGAAAGAGAAAAAATTAGCCATTGTATGGCTGAGAACCAATGCACTTGGGGCCTGGTCCAGAACCCACTGGGGTCGGTGTGGGGCTGCCCATCGACCTCAGTGTGCATTGACTCGAGCCCTTCAGGGTATTTGCTGGAGTGTGAACTTGGAATCTTCTATAGTGAAGACAAATCATTGCTCAGAAAATAAATGTTTAAAATGTGCGGCTCTAGTTAAAAATAAAATTTGATTCTTCTTGACACTCACTATTTAGTTCTCATTTTCCATCTAGTATTTAATGGTCTTTGGAGAGAAATAATAATAAAACAGAGTGTTATATATATATATATAAATATATATATTTTTGGTGCAAGATGAGACCTTCTGTTTTTTGAAACAAGTCTGTAGCATAAAGGTTAAACTATTTTAAGACAAAATAAAATAGAGTGTATTATTTAAACAATATCAATTTGTTTGAGTTTTTTTCCTTCCACTTCCATCAAATATGCTGGTGTTTCTCACATCTCCAAATTAAATCTGTAAATTCTGGGTTACAGTAGCTGAAATTCAGCACTGTTTCTTGCTGTAACACATTTAATTTTGCTCATCCAAAATGACAAAATTATTTCCTGGCTGCAAAACCTTCCTTTTATCTTGGACCAGGGCAGGACCAACACTTCTCCCTGTAGCTGCAGGTGTCTGAGCAACCTCCCACCATTATCTCTGACTGCTTCCCCCTGTCCCATCCTCCCAGACATCTGCTGGTCAGTGGGACTGTGACTCAGAGACTGATGCTCCAGGGCAGCTCCTCTCTGACCAGGGTGTGGTGCCAGGGTCAGCTGTGTTCAGAGAACCACAAAATTGTATCGGGGAATTTTGAGCCACAAGTAAAGAGGATGGTAAAGTACAACTGCACTGTGCTGAATTTGGGGTCCTGCTGCCTGCCAGCCCCCTCACGGCAAAATTGAAATGGGAATGATAATAATATAATAATAATTATAATTCAATACATTTCCAGTGTTTTACATGTATTTATCACATGAGAAAGCTCCCAGTGCCAATCAGTAAGACCATTTATCCATGTATTTTAAGTACCAGTATGGATAATGAAGATAAAGTGAGCTGGTTTTCAGCCTCACCAAGTCCTTGGCATTTGTGGAGCCTGAAAATCCAAATTTTGGGCCTAGTGGTCATTGCAGAGGTGGGCACCCATCTCAGATTTTATTTTATATTTATCAGCAGCTGAGGGAGAACAGAGCTGTATAGTTCAGTGCAGATGTGGGAAGAGGACAGATAAAATATCTCCTGAACCTTCTCTATCACCAAAAGATAGAGTCTATAGGCTTCAGGGTACACTGAATGGAAGGTTAAAATGTCTCCAAATTTCTGCCTTTGGCAGTTCCTTATGTAGGAGCCACTTCACTTTGTGGGAATTGTTATTTCTGGGACAACACAAAAACTGATCAAAACTACCCAAAACCAGGTTAGATTTTGTATTGTGCTTTTCCCAGTGAATTTCTTGCAATGCAGATTAATTTTGTGTTTAAAGTTTAGCTTGCCTGCCTTGAAATGAGGACTGAAAGAGCTGTGCTGAGTGAATTCCCCAGTTCCCTGGAGAATCTGTAAATGGTGTTCTTTGCTGAAGGCATCACCTCCCTTGGCTGGAATACTACCAGTTTTGTGTCTCCTTTTTGGGGCTGTCATCTCTGAATGTCAGCTGCTGTGGCTTTCTCTCCAGAGCACCCCAGGGATGCAGTTTCCCTTCTGTCTGCACAGGGAAGGAGCAGAATGCCTGCAAAATGCAAACTTGGGATAGACAAACCCTGCATTTACTGACAACTTTGGTGCAAATAAGGTGAAATCCTCTTGTTACTGATGCTAAAGGGCAGACCAGGATCTAGCCCGTGCCTCCCTCAGTCTATATCTTGAGTTTTTGAAAGGCAAATGCAATCCTGAGAGTCCTGACGACTGCTGATTCACAAATGCCTCTTGGAAGTTTTCTCATGGATCTGGTTAGTCATCTGGATTTGTAGTTCAATTTAAAATTAGAACTGAGTGCCAGCCACGGGGAAGGAAACATCTTTCAGACAGTCTCAGGGCAAAGCTGGAGTGGGCAGGGGGAAAGCTGTCTGGAAGTTTAATTTCAGATAATTTTCTACACTTACTCGCTGCATCGGCAGCTTCGGGTGAATCCAGGGCAACCACATCAGAGCTGGGAAAACAAACAAGAGTCCTCTGTCAAATTAATTTTCCATTGCTGTAGGTGCTGTGAATTGAGCACAGCTCCTGGAGCCTGACGGGTGCCTCTGATGAAATGCCATCTGCAGCTGAGGAGAGTTTGCTCTGTCCCTGGCTGGCCCCTGATCCACGACACACAAACCTTTCCCGTTTTGTTTCTTACAGATCCTTGTATGTCTACTTCAGACTTGGAGCTGCTGAACTCCAGTGAACCCCAATGTCAGGCCAATCACAGAATCACAGAATTATTTGGGTTAGAAGGGAACTTAAAGACCC